GGGGGGGGTTCCTTGAGAATCTATTTGACCCTGCCGGTTCATATGCACTCAGTCACTATCTGAACCCTATTGCTGATCATCTGACTTTATTCTGTTCCTTTTTTCCTATTCGCGCCTGGGCGATGGTTTAACACGGTTTATTAACCTAGTTACTGTCTCAATTGACTGGTTTATGTGTTTGTTGGAAGCTTAAGAATTCGCGACAATGTAGATGAATTCTTGCGAACAGGGATTGTTTTCTGAAAGCGAACACGTTTCTCATCCATATTTATTTTATTTAATCCCATCACACGTACTTCTTTCTTTTTTGACGAAAGAAACTGAGCGATAGGAAATTTATTCTTTGTACTAACCTCCCTCTAGTAATATATAATATAATTATAATATTATAATAATATCACCGCCACCAGTGAACAAAAAATCCATCCATTTGGATGAATGAAGCGATTCGTGACTTAAATTTCCAACGTCGGACAAGAGTTCACATTAATGGTAGGGAATCAGCCTTCTGACTGACTCGCTGAATCTCTGATTGTATCATCCAGCCCGGCGTCGGTAGTTTTCTCCATCTGTCCCGTGTCTCTCAATTCCATGAGGTCATAACTCCGGTAGTGTGCAGTTCCGTCGGCAAGACTGAATCTGGGGCGCATTGGATTCAATTTAAAGTCAGTTTGAGTCATCTCATGCAGGTATCTTGATGAATGTGAAGTACAGTAGGATTCTGTAAGTCTAGGTGCAACAAGCACTTGGCACTGATCGAAAGTACAGATGGGTGTATCCGAATGCTTTTCCTTGCTGAAATAAGGTGTGGAAAATGGAGAAACTTTCCATTTGCCACTTTATGAACATCATCAAAGCCGTTTAAGGTGAATACATGGGGATGTTTTTCATCGCGCTTGGAACTGAAGTTATAATTTCACAAGTCCAGTGCCGGTTTGACCGAAGGTATTTTCTACAGGAATAACAGCACGATAAGGGTAAATAGGATTACGCAGAACGAAACGTCTAATTTGCAACACTTGGTTAATATTTTTGTGAACAGCTCTTCATCGGTGATCATCAGCCCAATATTCTGTGTTATCCTTTCTGTAGTTAACATCATAAATCCTTTAGTTCACTCACAGGTGTCTTGGAAATCGACCAACGGTTTCTTTGTGCGCCCCACCCCCACACACAGTACTCACAAATGTGAGTAGCACCGCACAACATATGGAGGGTTTTGTGAATTCCGACCATTAAGCGTGTTCGTCGTAGCAGGAAATGCACACATTTTTCTATCTTTCGTGTGGTATAGCCAAATGCGGTGCGAAGTTGCACAACATTCAAATGTTCAATTACGATTAACCAATTTGGATATTAATTGTGCATAGGTAAGAGAATGTATTTTGTCGTTTCGCCTAAAGAAGCCACACGTGGTCCGCCTTTTCACATCTTAGCGGGGAATTTGTGCAATGACACGGTTGATGACGGTGGTTATTGGAATTCACCCACTGTTTTGCTGTTACATACCCGGTGACTAGTGTTTGGTGTGAGACCGTTCCGCCTGCGGTTCGCTTGATCGCAGGGTTATCCTGTGTACTATCTGATGTGATAAAGACCAGTTTGCGTTCTAAACCCGGAGAGGAATCTTCGCCCCGCCTTTGCGGGGCCTTTCATTGACA